TTTTCCTCTACTTTTTCTAACTTCTCAACTAATATTGCCAAGTCCTCTTTTATTCATGAATTCACCCACTATCCCAAATCCTTTGTTATCTTGCTCCACTTTGGTCTGGCCAACCAGGCCTGCCATTTAGCTGTCATCTTAATATTAACCTTTATTGCTTTCTCAAGTTTGAATCATGATTTTCTTGATTCCATATTTGCCTTTGAAGTGATTTCTACCTGGTTTTGTTGAAATAGATGTTCAAATAACTTCCTAAGAGAAGGTCCACAGGAGGTAAATTTTCTAAATACTTTTAGTTCTGAAAACATCTTTATTGTCATCACATACCTGCTTGATAGTATGTTTAGAGATAGAATACTAGAGAAAACATATTTTCTAAGGATTGAAGGCATTTATACATTGATTTTTAGCATCCAGTATTATGAATAAAAAGTCTGATTTCACTCTGATTTGTAGATGACTTTCTACCTACGCTTGCAAGATTTTAAGATCGCATTTTAATCTCATTATTCTAAAATTTCTTGAGAATATGTGTAGGTGCGATCCCTTTTTCATTGAATGTATTCAGCACAGAAAGCACATTTATTTTCCATTAAAAAAAGAAATAAAGAGAAAAAAATGAGGATCTATACATAAATTATGCATAATTAGCAACAAACATTAACATTTTGTTTTATTTGTTTAAAATGTTTTTATTAATGGATAAAATTAAGCTATATATATTGGTAGAGTCAAATTTTCCTCCATTTTTTTCCAGAGGCAGTTGATATTGCAAAATTGATGTGCATCTTTCACTATTCATTTTTAATTCTGATATAAATATATGTATCCAAAATAATAAATAGTACTGTTTCATATAAAAATCATATAAATGGCATTATGTTGTATCTTTCTACAAAATGCTTATTTCACTCAACATTAGGTTTCTGAGAATTGTCTAGATTGATATATAGAAATCTAGTTCATTCATTTCTACTATTTATAAAATCTATTAAACATGTGACATATTACTTAATGAAAGATCTACAGCAAACATTAACTTTTTAATAAGCTGAAACATTGACCATAAATATCAGAAACAAGAAAACTATGTACTGTATCATTAATACTCTATTTTGGAGGTCTTTGACAGTGAAATGGGATAAGAAAAATAAGATATGAGCTATAAAATATAGAATAAAAAGAGATAAAACTGTCATGATTTGTAAACTGTGATTATCTGTATAAAAACTCAAAAAGAAAAGAGGCAAAATAATAAAATTAATAGGAGAATTCAACAACAACAAAAACACCTGACTAAAGAACGAAAATGATACATCAAGAGCTTTTACACAAACTAGCAATATTTATATCCTATTAAACTTATTAAGAAATGGAATGCACATACATACAAATATACATGAGAATGGAGTGGCGAACAGTGCTGCGTTATTTGGTTATCCATTTGAGAAAAGAAGTAAAGTTGGATCACACCTTCCACCTTGCCCAAAGGTAAATTCCAAAAGACACTTGAGACAACCCTTTAAGCGGAAAGGTGTGAGAGAATTAAGAAATCATATGGAGACTCATTTTGTAATCGAGGAGTGGGGAACCCGGTCCTAAGCTACACACAGAAACAAGAGTCAACAGGGAAAATGAGAGTCAGGGTGAACAAGAGGCTAAGAGCAATGAGCAGAGGGAAGTGACAGAGTGTGTGGCGATGCATGCAGCAGGTGTAGCAGACAAGGGATTGGCCGATCCTCTGCAGGACTGTGCTTAACTCTGATGCAGCACCCATCTGTATCTTAGACCAATCAGTAGCCCCTAGAAGGGAGCAGGGAGCCAGTCCTCCACACAGCTGTCTAACTCTTAGCCAAATGACACTATGATGGATTCAAGATTGACTTGGTGATGGCTGTGCCTGATGGTGGTTGGCACTTCAAAGTGAGGGGATTGTGGTTGAAATTGCTTTGAGAGTGGCACATAGGGCCACGGTGAGGATGCAGAGTTTGAGAAGCTGGATGTCTGCAACCTTGCCTGTACTTATGGTGGGGGTGGAGAGTACAAAACCGCAGAAACCCCGGGAGAGGTAGCAGGCTGGGAAGGGCACTGGGAGTCAATGTGGTACCTACAGGCACCAAATGTAGACATAATAATGAGATGAATAAGAAGAAAGGCCAAAGCTCTTCTGGAACTAGAAGGCAGTCTGTGGCAGCAGTGCCAGATTTACGCAAGAGACTTAGGCTGGGGCAGCCCCATTATGGCAGGGCACCTCCCCACAGAGTGTGACAAGTTCAAACTTTGATGACCATGTCAAATGTTTACCATTGGGACACCCAGAAAGAATCTCTGTTCGTTGCAGCAGGCAGGTAGGTAGGTAAGTTTTGTGCTTGGTGGTCCCGTGCTGTTTCATTTTGAATTCAGTGTGTGTGTGGGATGGGGGGCACCATAGTCTTTCCAGTGCTGATAGCCTCTGAATATCTTAATCAGACCCTGACTGGCAGGCATGCTCCCGACTCCCCTTCACATCCCTAGGCAGAATCCACTGGGAACTGGGCTCCTGCCTTGGCATAGCAACCCACCAAGGGATGAAGGGCAGACCAGAGTCCTGAGCTTCCACACATAGGGAGTGTCTTTGGGAGAGCAGTGCCAGCAAATGGAGAGAATGCTCTTGACTTGGGCCAAGAACACACTGTGGAGACAGTTCGATGCCAACAGGCTTCTCTGTGACAGAGTTGCTCTGAGCAGTTGCTCTGAGTTGCTCTGAAGCCCTCCCTGCGATGGGACTGTAGCCTGCCTCAGAGATGGGGGACAACTGCCTGAGGCGGGACTCAAAGGGGAATTCGGCAGAGTGCAGAGAAACAGGGAGGTGCGTGTTAATTTGGGATCCTGAGCCAAGAGAAAGGAGAAAACCCTCTGCCTTCGCGCTGAGATTAAAGAGACTGAGCAGTAAGGTGTCACTGAAGACAGCATGAGCCAAGCTGACTCTACCAGGACAAGTAGACACAGGAGCTGTCCGCAAGGGCAATCCTACATGAAAAACTGATTGACCAGCTCATATGAAACTCACTTGGAAGAAAGCGATGGTCACATTAGCAGCTCTTAGGAAATAAGACAGGGTTCCAGAGGCAGCAAAAATGCCCCAGGGGGATAAGCCTTGCTGAGGGTGTGCTGTCACAACAACCTCGAGTCATGTGCTGGCTGTCCAAGGTGCCAGGACCCAGGAAGAGGTAGCATACCCACTCCAAGTTGGAGGATTCCCCAAGAAGGCCCTGGGACCTGGCAGGCACCCATGCCCGCTAGACAGCCTGAAGCGTAGGGCAATGGGTACAAGCAGGAGAGTTGTAACCCACCTGTAACCTAAACTCTAGGAGAAGGGAGAAATAAAATAGGACTAGGCTCTCTAGGAAGGAGAGTGCTCAGGAGGCAGAGCACTTAGAGAGCACTGATGCCCAGGGGAACAATGGCCCAAAGCAGCATCTCAGGATACCAGGAGAAGGCGCCAGTTGCAGAAGCAGCTCTGCTCAAGGGAAGCTTCTTGTCCACTTGTTGACCAAGGCTATGAGGAAGAGGACTATTTCTTGACACACCAAAAACATGCAGGGAGCCTGGGTTTCGTGATGCAGGGAAGGATCTGAAAATATTAGGAGGGGGTGGTGGAATAAGTTGCCCGTTTCCATGGAGGGGTTCAGTGGGAAGGGCTGGGTTCTTCCTTTCCTCCAAGGGGTGATGGAAGCTTGGATGGAGGGGAGGAGGTGTTTCCTGATGGATGGAACAGCCACGGTCATTCCAAGCACCCTCAGCGTCTGCCCTACAACTCCCACGGGGAGGCTCCCTTCCTGGGTCACACCAAAGATACCAAGGATAGGGCAGAAAGAATATTGCCCCCAGGGAATCAGGGGCCAACCGACCCTTCTCGCTCTGCCAGGAATTTGGTCTTGGGATCCCAAGGAAGGGAAAGGTCTGGAAGTAGGTTTAACAGCTGCTTCCCAGAAGGGAGAGAATTACACAAAGTAGGCACTCAGCAAGTGGCAACCATTATTGTTATAATCGTGCATTATATGTGCAGGGATGGATTGGCCAGTGGCCCCCAAGGATGTGTAGATGAACCCAAGGATACTGACCTTCCTCTGTAGGTCAGCGGTCAAGGAAAGACACCTTCATCGAGGGATTTCTTGTGCCAGGTGACAGGCTCAGTGCCGCCTGCTTCACGGGTGTTGCCTCTTTTAGTCCTCCCAACATTCCATCCTAATTCCACCAAACCTCCCTCTAC